CCCCAAAACCCCAAAACCCCAAAACCCCAAAACCCCTTAAATCATTTTATGGTTGGATTTATTTCTTAAAGACCAATTTCTTCTCTTTCTTCAGCACTCAAGGTTTCTGGGTCAATTTTTCCAGAAATCACATCGTATTTAAGTTGTTCTTTTCTAGAAGTATAAGTTAGATAAATTACTTTCTCATTTGAGAGACCTGCTCTTTCATTTTTGCCCTCTGTTCTTCACTAAATTGGGGTACTCCATCTTCACCTATATTTTCGACCTTAATCTGGTCATTGGCAATATCTTCAGTTTGAAGACCCTCAAAATTATCGTTTGGAATATCTTCAATTCCTATATTATCAGTAACTCCTGGTGGGATGACATCCTCCACAGGGTTGGACAACTCACCGTGGGACTCAACATCAGCTTCTGCTTTAGCCTTCTTTATCTTCTTAATAGATTTCACTAAAACATTAACATGGAAACTTACGTGACCTTGTCACCTTTTTCAGTTCTTCATCAAGGTCTGATTTCTTAAAAGGCAGTTTCTGATTCTTTGGATAGTTGTCAAACTCACTGATTGAAATGAAATACTCTCTAGCCTGAGTAAGAAGTACTTTGAACTCTTCTAAGTCGTCCTCAGGAAGCCATTTCTTCCTAATTCTTGTATATCTTTCGAAGCTTTTCTCAGCTTTGTCTAATTTAGTTTGATATTTTTCAATAAGGTCGGCCAGCTGCTCTCTTTGCGATTTTCTCTTCTTTATAGGATTGATTTTCTTCTCAAGATATCTGACCTTATTCTTTAAGTTATCATAATCAGCAGTAAGGCCAGTAGTCTCAAGCCATTGCTGCTCTTCATCAAGATACAGAAGTAATTTAATTTTTTCATCTTCATTCTTCAGATATGGCTGGATATCCTCATCCTGGAGATATTCTTTAGAACTATAAATCAAACTTTCAAATTCATTTTTAATAATCTTCAGCTTCTCAAGCTTCTTGTCCCTCAAATCTGCCTCTCTTAATCTTTTCTTAATCTTCTTCTTCTGAGCTGCATTAAGAGGGGATGGACCTGCTAAATTTTCAATAAGATTGAGAAAATGTGAATCCTTGGTGTCTGATACAACACTGGCATGCTTTATAGTGAGAATGCCACTCTTGTCATACTTAAAAGCAATCACTAGCTTATACTTTTCCTTCAGTGATATATCTTTCTTGAAGATTTGAATCTTGTCAACTCCTCTAATTTTAGTCTTTGAAATCTAGATAATCATACACGTGTTACTTACAATATTCTCTGCTCCATCTGAATCGACTGTGTACAGCACTACATTCATGTTTTCAATATGGTGCTCGATGTTAATAGTCTTCCTCTGGCCTAGAACATTCTTTTCTTTAGCATACAACTTCAAGTGCTTAAAGAAGCAATCTTCTTCATGCTCGCTTTTACATCCTCCCATTTGAGTAATGTTTGCATACACAGTGTCAGGAACTGACTGATACAGGTATACTTTCTTCACTTGGTAGTTAGAAGAGGAGTTGGCAGCAATGTATGCACTTCCAAATGCCATAGCTTCATCTGGATTCAAATGAGTACCCAATAACTTTCCTCCCAGCATCTCAGTAATGAATTCTTTTACTTTGGGAACTCTAAGACCCCCTCCTAAAATCTCAACATCATCAATTGTGTCAACTGGATGGTTTTCGAGAACTTTCAAGAATGTTTGTCTGCTTTTCTCTATTATGGGCATTATTCTCTCCTCAAACTCAGATCTGTGCAGAGTGAATTCCAAATTCAAATTGTCAGCAATTTCAATAAGTTTAATTTGAGCTTCTTTATTTGAAGACAGAATTTCTTTGACCTTAACCACTTCTCTCATTAGCCTTTTGATTATTTTAGGATTCTCCATAATACTGTTTTTGCCTTGTCTTTCAGGAAGATTATCAAATCTCTCAGCTAAAATCCTCACTAATTGAGTATCAAAAAGATGACCTCCAACATTTGGATTTGCTGCTTCTTCAATTACATGGGTGCTCAGCACGTTCTTTGTTGTGTGATTGTAATATTTGACAATAGAAAGTTCCAGATCTTTAGACCCCATATTGACAAAAAGAACTTTCTTTGGTAATTCAAGATTTGGTGTATCTATTCCATACATCAGGGCTGCAGCTGTGTTCTCATTCAATAAAGTAAGAACATTGAACCCTGCTAATTCTGCTGCATCCTTCACCATTGTCCTCTGATTTATGGTGAAATAAGATGGAACAGTGATAGTAATGTCATTCACAACCCCGTTGGCAGCTTTGTTTGATAATTTTCTAGCATGCTGAAGAGTCATGGTCAAAGCTTCCTCAATGAACATATCAATATTGGTTAATTCATCAACTTCTGGAATATTAATATTGTATCCTATTAGCCCACGAGAGTCTTCGGTGAATTCATTTGTGTATAAATAATCTTCTTTAAGCATTCTAATGTTTTCATCTGAATATTCCAATCCTAAGAGGTTCAAAGAATTAATCAATGCTGTTTGGGGGTAGCTAACTGATTTCTTAACAGCCCTCTTTTCATACAATCTCTCTTCATCAGTCAAAGTAATCGCATTCTCGGTTTTTCTATCTGAACCAGTGTTTTCCACAATGTTGAATGGAGCTCCTGGCCTCACGACAACAGTTTTATAGAACTCTGAACCAAAATCTATTCCAATGACTGCACTCTTGACTGAGAGAGCAAGTAGAAGGAAAATGGTAAATCTAGTAAAAGATCTGACCTCCATTTTAAATATTAAAAGATTTGTGATAAAACATTTACAACGTGTTGAATGCTCAAAGGGGTTTTGGGGTTTTGGGGTTTTGGGGTTTTGGGG